TCTTATAAGTATGGGACGCATGCCAATGCTTGCCACCATTCTGGTAGGGAACAGTGACTTGGTTGGCTTCATCACCAGATCATAGAGGACCTGCCGGCTTCCCTGGCCACTGCCTGGATGCAAAGTGTCTGTGTCAAGGAGTGCCCTTAAGGAACAGTCCAGAGAATGACGCATCAATTATTTCCACGCTTACATGCAGTCCAGTTACTAGGGAAGCCTGAAAGAAGAAATATTTGGAATTTCAGCAAAGCAAGAAAAAAAAATAAACCATTCCTGGCAGGCATAGGGGGAGGGATGGGGAGAAGGGGGATAATCCATTCCCCATGCAGAATTATGCCAACCTTTTGACACAAAGTAAGGGAGGCAGCTGGCAATCACATGCTTACACTTAACACACATACATACAGGCATTAGTCATCTTTCAGCAAAGCAACCAAATGTTCCAATTCAGAGGAATACATCAGCACAGAAGGAGTCAAACTCTCTGGAAATTCCGCTTGGTCCAGTCAAATGAAATATTTGTTTGACTTCCTTAACAGAATTTGCCACCAGACCCAAGGACTTGCCATTTGACAAGAGTGTGAAACAACATAGTCCTTCCCATCTGTGGCCAAGGGCTCTGGTGCAGTTTCTAAAAAGAGCATCTTCACAGAACAGGAGCCTGGGGACTAAAGTCAGGAATTGTGAAGTGGAGGCGAAGAATAAGAGGGTTTTGGGAAAAGCTGGACTGATCTGTGGTTCCTTTACAAGAAAGAATGAGAAGGAAAAAGTTCCTTTGCCCATTGCAAAAAAATACTGAACAAGAGAAGGGAAAAAAGCAAGCCAGTCTTCCCTCCTTCAAAGCACAGAAGCCTTTGGAGAAATCAAAACATTATTTGGAAGCATCTTCCCAGCACCAAAGAACTTCTGAACTGCTCCAACCAACAGAGTTTCCTGGTGCTTCCCCGCCTGCGGGATCTTTAGACCAATAAATCCCCAGTTTGAGGTTGATAAGCATCTGAAACTCACACACACCCTCCATTGCCTAGCAATTTTCGTTCTCGCAGAAACCACCCTCACCTTTTGCAAACACACTAACCACAAGCTCCCTGAGATCCCCACAGCTAAGAAACCCAACCTGAGAAGAAAACAAACCTCCCACGCGGCTCAGATAAGAGGAAAAAGACTCCTTTGGTTTGCCATCGTCAGTAGGACGTCTCAGCAGCTCTCGCATCCAAGACAACTTCGATGGTTCATTTTGCCCAGGAAATGTCAAGCCAGCCTCCACCAGCGCAGAAATAGAAGCTTCCTCCAAGGAAAGGATTTATTCCTAGCATGCATTCAATGAAATAGACTCCACTCCACAAAAGTTTACAGCACAGTAAGTTTAAGGATTCACCGTGTTTTCTCCAATTTACTAGTCCACACGGCTGATGCTCTAGAAAATGAATGACACAAAATGCACTTGTCCCAGTGAACCTGTCCTGATTTCATTCTAAAGATTCAGCACATGGCATCACATCATATTTTGAAACAGGAATTTGCCACCAATCCATAAAGAAGACACAGCTATTATTTCATTTTTCTTCACGGGGAAAGAGCACAGGCTATTTTTTCAAAACCATAGATTCCAAGGATATACACAGCTTTCTGGACGATAATAACATGCAACCAAGCATTCTGCTTTCTGTTTAGTTTTACTGTAATAAAACAACTTGCAATGGGAGTTTCAAAAGTAAACCAGACACCAGCTTGCCCCAGGGATGGAACAGATTATAAATTAAAATGCAACTCATTCATTGCTCACGTCAACTCCGTTACACTCTGCTAGGTATAGAGCTGAACAGACTTCATCAAACTCTCCAAACTACAACCCAGAATCCTCTTTCATACCTCAGCAAAACAACCTGAATCAAACTGGGATGAAGTTTGCACATATACCAATCTTAAAGAAATATATGGTAGGGTTGCTGAAAGTTTTTTGGGCTGTATGGCCATGCTCCAGAAGCATTATCTCCTGATGTTTCACCCACATCTTTGCCAGGCATCCTCAGAGGTTGGAGGTCTGAGAGTGCATCAACAGCAGGCATGGGCAAACTTCGGTCCTCCAGGTGTTTTGGACTTCAATTCATACAATTCCTAACAGCCAGTAGGCTGTTAGGAATTGTATGAGTTGAAGTCCAAAACACCTGGAGGACCGAAGTTTTCCCATGTCTAATCTACAGGGTAGAAGGAATGCAGTTTGGCACCACTTTGAACTTCCTTGGCTCAATGCTACAGTCTTGTTTGTTGAGGCACCTGCTCTCCTTGGTAGAGAAGGCTCCAGACCTTGTGACAGTTCCCCTGATTCGTTAGCACTGAGCCATGGCACTTCAAGGGATCTCAAACTGCATTCATGTGGATGGGGAAGAAGGGCTCCGGGCCTCTTGGGCCAAAGAGAAAGGACATGGGGGGGGAGGGGGGGAGGGAGACCAAGGATGCTTCCAGACAGGCCTTATATCCCAGAATAGCAAGGCAGAAAATCCCACGATATCTGCTTTGAACTGGGTTATCTGAGTCCACACTGACATATATTCCAGTTCAAAGCAGATAATGTGGGATTTTATTCAGCTGTGTGGAAGAGGCCCAAGTCTGAAGAGAGGAAGACCTGAAGCTGCAAAGTCAAGAAGCTAAGGACCCTTCCATACAGCACAAAACCTGGAATCAGATCCTGGGGCATACGATCTGCATGGAAAGGCCCAAAATTGCCACCCAAGGCCCCATGGTGATTGAGGAAGACACCAGGAATGCAAAGCCACACAAACAAATAAAGGTGCAGCACTATTGTAGAATGTAAGCAGTTTGGCACCACTTGAATGCTCTGGAATCAGAGAAGCTGCAGTTTTGACAAGGTCTTCTGCCTTCTCTGCCCAAGAGTGCCAGTAACTGACTAAACTACAGCTCTCAGGACTCTTCAGAACTTGAGCCATGGCAAGTAAAGTGGGGTCAGTGTGTTGTTGAAGGCTTTCATGGGTGGAATTACTGGTTGCTGTGTTTTCTTGGCTGCATGGCTGTGTTCCAGAAGCATTCTCTCCTGACATTTTTGCCTGCATCTATGGCAGGCATCCTCAGATGTTGTGAGGTCTGTTAGAAACTAGGCAAGTGGGGTTTATATATCTGTGGAAAACTCACAGCAACCCAAAGTGGGGTCAAGCTGCATTTATCTTGAGAGACCCTCAAGAGAGGGAAGTGTAAATACTGCAGTGGAGCACCTTGATTAGCATAGAATAGCCTTGCAGATTCAAGGATTGGCTGCTTTCTGCCTGGGGGAATCCCAGGTCAATGGATACTCCACCACAGACATCAGAAGAGCTGCAAGACCAAGAACAAGGCATGAGAGTAAAGGTGAGCAAGGTGATCAATTGCAGCATTCACACTTGTCTCCAACAGTCACGAGTTCTTTCTCCCACCCTGAGCATTCCACAGATATATAAACCCCACTTGCATTGTTTCCAACAGGCCTCACACACTCTGAGGATGCCTGCCATAGATGCAGGTGAAATGTCAGGAGAGAATGGTTCTGGAACATGGCCATACAGCCCGGAAAACTCACAGCAACCCAGTTATTCCAGCCATGAAAGCCTTCAACAACACATTGTTGCAGGCTTCAATAACACATTGAACCCACTTTACTTGCCTTGGCTCAGTTCTGTGGAATCCATACAGCCTCACAGCAACCCAAAGTGGGGTCAAGCTGCATTAATCTTGAGGGGTCCCATGAGAGACCCTCAAGAGAGAACTCAAGAGAAGGGACTGAACTCGAAAGAGAACTCATGAGAGGGAAGTGTGAATACTGCATCTGAGCACCTTAATTAACATAGATCAGCCTTGCAGCTTCAAGGCTTGGTTGCTTCCTGCCTGAGGGAATCCCAGGACAGTGGATCTCCCAACCTCTGATGATGCCTGCCATAGATGCAGGAGAAATGTCAGGAGAGAAGGCTTCTGGAACATTGCCACACCGCAACCCAAAGTGGGGGTCAAGCTGCATTCATCTTGAGGATGCCTGCCATAGATGCAGGCGAAACGTCAGCAGACAATGCTTCTGGAACAGGACCATACAGCCCGGAAAACTCACAGCAACCCAAAGCGGGGTCAAGCTGCATTCGTCTTAAGGGGTCCCACAAAAGACTCCAAAAAGAGAACTCAAGAGTAGGAAGGGTGAATCCTGCAATTCAGCACCTTGATTAGCATAGAATAGCCTTGCAGCTTCGAGGCTTTCCTGCTTCCTGCCTGGGGGATCAATTGCAGCATTCACACTTGCCTCCAACAGTCAAGAGTTCTTTCTCCCGCCTCATGAGAGGAAAGTGTGAATCCTGCAATTGAGTGCCTTGATTATCATAGATCAGCCTTGCAGCTTCAAGGCTTGGCTGCTTCCTGCCTGGGGGATCAATTGCCGCATTCCCACTTGCCTCCAATAATCAAGAGTCCTTTCTCCCACCTCATGAGAGGAAAGTGTGAATCCTGCAATTGAGCACCTTGATTAGCATAGAATAGCCTTGCAGCTTCGAGGCTTGGCTGCTTCCTGCCTGGGGGAATCCCAGGTCAATGGACCTCCCAACCTCTGAGGATGCCTGCCACAGATGCAGGAGAAACGTCAGGAGAGAATGCTTCTGGAACATGGCCACACAGCCCAGAAAACTCACAGCAACCCAAAGAGGGGTCAAGCTGCATTTGTCCCATGAGAGACCCTCAAGAGAGAACTCATGAGGGGAAGTGTGAATCCTGCAATTGAGCAACGTCAGGAGAGAATGCTTCTGGAAGAAAACCCACATTAACTCAAAGTGCATCCGTCTTGAGGGTCCCACGAGACACTCTCAAGAGAGGGCACTGCCGCCCAAGGAACCGCAGCGCCTGAGACAAGCACAGGGAAAGAGCAGCCTCGAGCCCCATCTACTCTGACATAGAGTTCAACACCGTCCGGACACACACGAGTCTATAGAGATCATAGAGGGAGCCAAACGCGAGGGTGTCGGTGCGTGTACCTTGTCTGACGGCCTTGAGGAGGATGGGCTCCTTGCAGCTGCGGAGGAGGGCCAGGACGTCGTAGCGGGGCAGGCCGGAGACGGGCAGCCCTTGGACCTCGAGGAGGAGCTCCCCTTCGCCCAGCGGGGCTGCTTCTTCTCCTTCGCCTTCTCCTTCCCCGCCGGCTCCTTCCTCCTGGTCGTCGGGGCCGCCCACGTAGGCGAACTCGCCCTGCTCGGCGCCCCCCAGGACGGTGAAGCCCAGGCGGGCCCCTCGGCGCCGGATGGCCACTTGGTGCACCTTGGCCGCCCAGTGGTGCTTCCTCTGGAGCACTTTCGACATGGCCAGCGAGGCAGAGAGAGAGAAAGAGAGCGAGAGAGAGAGAGAGAGAGACGGGGGAGCCTTCCCGGGAGAACTTTCCCCTTCATGCCATCACTGCGCAAACTTTGCCCGACGCCTCTCCGCAGCCCCCTCCAACAACATGCTGCTTTGGCTCCCCGCGGTCCCTTCCTTCTCTCTCCCCTCTTCTTCTTCCTCCTTTCCCGAACTGTAATCCTCGGCTCGCTTTTCCCACGCTCTTCTGGCCCCGACCTCTTCTTCTGGGCCACTTTGGCCACCTCTTCTTCTCTTTCCTGCCCGGCTCTTCTGGCCCCGACCCGCCGCGGCTCCTTTAAGCGCCGACAAAGCCGACTCTTGTTTTGTTACATTGCGCTCCTCGTCGAGACAAGGGGGGGGGGGGGGGGGCAGGCGAGCGATAGGAAGCGGTGGCGCATGCGCACAAGGGCACTCCCCGCCTCCCTTCCCAGCCAGGCTCTTCCTCCTCCTCCTCCTCCTCCTCCTCTTCCCAGGCTTTTCCGCGCTCCCTTTTCATTCCTGGACAGGAATGAAGAAAAAAAACAAAACCTCTCAGACCAGGACAGTCAGTAAAGAACAACGCTCAGAACAAGAGGGGAATTCCAGACAGGAAACCAACCACCAGGGCCAGCTAACACTTCCCAAATAATAATAATAAAACTTTATTTATACCCCGCCAACATCTCCCCAAGGGTAAGGTAAAGGTAAAGGTAGTCCCCTGGCATTAAGTCCAGTCATGTCTGACTCTGGGGTGTGGTGCTCATCTCCATTTCTAAGCTGAAGAGCCAGCGTTGTCCGTAGACACCTCCAAGGTCATGTGGCCGGCATGACTGCATGGACGCCGTCCCCAAGGGTACAACAATGCAAATAAACAACATACAGCGACAATAAAATATAAAAATAAAATACAAAAAACAATATAAATAAGCACATCAAACAATTTAAAATCACAATAATTAAACACCGAAAATCAATCCCAATGGGCAGGATCCAAACAAAGGATTCCCTCCGCCCAGGCAGGAAGCAGCCAGGCTTTGAAGCTGCAAGCCTATTTAATGCTAATCACGGTGGCCAATTGCAAAATTCAACTAAAACAGACAAGAGTTCTTTCTCCTAGGAAACAACTAACACCTCCCAACAATCAGGGCCAGCTAACACCTCCCAAACAAAGGATTCCCCCAGGCAGGAAGTAGCCAGGCTTTGAAGCCACAAGGCTATTCAATGCTAATCAAGGTGGCCAATTGCAACGTTGAACTAAAACAGACAAGAGTTCTGTGTTCTGGGAAACAACTAAACACCTCCCAAGAAAGGATTTTCCCAGGCAGGAAACAGCCAGGCTTTGAAGCTGCAAGGCTATTCAATGCTAATCAAGGTGGCCAATTGCAACATTCAACTAAAGCAGACAAGAGTTCTCTCTCCCAGGAAACAACTGAACACCTCCCAACAAAGGATTCTCCCAGGCAGGAAGCAGCCAGGCTTTGAAGCTGCAAGCCTATTTAATGCTAATCAAGGTGGCCAATTGCAACATTCAACTAAAACAGACAAGAGTTCTTTCTCCTAGGAAACAACTAACACTTCCCAACAATCAGGGCCAGCTAACACCTCCCAAACAAAGGATTCCCCTAGGCAGGCAGCAGCCAGGCTTTGGAGCTACAAGGCAACTCAATGCTAATCAAGCTGGCCAATTGCAACATTTAACCAAGGAAACAACACCTCACAACAAAGGATGCCCCCAGGCAGGAAGCAGCCAGTCTTTGAAGCTGCAAGGCTATTCAATGCTAATCAAGGTGGCCAATTGCAACATTCAGCTAAAACAGACATGGGTGCTTTCTCCCAGAAAACAACTGTTTGGCAGTGGAAGAAGCTGCCTTGGAGCGTGGGGAAGTCTCCTTCTGTAGAGTTTTTAAACAGAGTAGAAGTATATAAAAATAAACATTGTTTCTTTACAATTTGATTTGTATCATTCCAAAAACTATTTTATTGTACAGCTCATTATTATTTATATTGGATATATATTTATTTTTATTGTTTATATTTATTTATATGTATATATTTCACGTGTGTGCGTGTGTGTGTGTGTAAACTAAAAACCTGGCTGTGGAACCAAGCTTTCAAAGAGTAGCACAGTGCAAGAGGCAGCCATGAAGTGACTGTAACACAATTGGAATGACTCCTGGATCATGACTTTGGATCTTGTGTTGTTTTAATAGTTTATTTTAGTGTATTGATTTGTCATAATTTTTAATGATTTTTAAACTGATTTTCATGTATGGTATATGTTATTCTTATATGTTTATGTTTGTTGTGGCATTGAATTATTATCAGCTTGGAAGCTGCTTGGAGTCTCCTTCGGGGTGAGACAGAGCGGGGTAAAAATACAGTAAATATATAAATTGGCACCAAAATCTTTTCAGGACCTCCAAAGTTCACCCAACCCTAGTTACACCATAATGACTTCTTAAAAACTGTGCAGTATAAAGTTATAATTTGTTAGAGAAATATTATCTTCAGTGAGGTGTAGCCACAAAAGCATTTCATGTGATCCCTGTTTACATTGTCGTCTTATCAATATCCCTACAAGGAAAAAACGTCATGCTGATTTACTTTTTGAACCTTCTAATGCGCATGTGCTTAAGGCAGGGCTGTCATTATTACCCAATTACAATGACACTTGGAACTGCAGGGAGTTGTCTGCATGCACTGTTGTGTTTGCTGCTGCTGGGTTTTTTAATAGTTGCTGATTTTGTCAACTTTCCTGGCATTTTACCTATAATATTGTAGTGCGATCTGATATGGGAGGAGGTCCATGAGAGGGACACTGTGTGTTATTACACAAAGTGACACCAACTCGAATGATGCAATTGTTTTTTATCGAGTTCAGGGGGGCATCTGCTTTGTGGCCTTTCTTCCAGGGCTGTTGCAAATCTATTTGGCATGAACAGCCTGAAAAGGGTGGCTCTTAGGGGTTCTTTTTTAAAAAAAACAAACCATACCCGCCTCAAAGTTGCTATGAATCTTACATACAACATTCACAGCAGGGTCAATGCAGGTTGGAAAAAAGTGCTGCTGTACATATTGTTTTCATTAATATAGAAAATCCATTAGAGGTACTACTACTACTACTACTAATAATAATAATAATAATAATGATGATGATAATGATAATAATGCACTTTATTTATATTCTACTTTATCTCCCTGAGGGGACTCTGAGTGGATTACAGTCTCCACATATATAGGCAAACATTCAATGCCTTTTGTGATGGCATGCCCGAGCCTTTGAGGAAACTATATTGTCTGGCTTGACTCGGGGGCTATCTATATACCTTCGGTTAAGATTAAGACCCTTAGCAGACAGAGGCACTTTAGGCAAGGTGAAAAAATAACCAAATGTGTTTACTGAAACAAGATGAATAAAGGGTTAATTTCACCCGGGACTATCATAACAATACATAACAAAATGAGATTTTGCTGGCTGCAGTCAACTCTCTGGAATCTTTGAAAGTCTTTTGGCTCTAGTGTAAAGCACTGGATTATAAATTGTTGCTTGCAGTCTGTCTTAATCTTCTCTCCTGTGAAGTTTAGGCTGGCCAAAAGCTTCTGTTGTCCTTTGGACTGCTGGTATAAAAATACTGCTAAATGCAGCAGGTGCTAAGAATGCCTGTTTTGATTGCTCAGGCCTAGGATACCAGACAATGTCCCAAGCCACTGTTCTCTGCTGCAGAAAAAAGGAGGAGTCCAGCAAAGGAGCTCTATACAGGAAATGGAATAGACCAACTAAGGCTGGTCACTAGGGGTTTTTATGCTCCACCCAAAAACTAATACAAAGGAAGTTAGAATATTGTGGTGGCCTATAAACAGAGGAAACTAAAGCAGAGGAGAGGAGAAGGCAGAGCCAAGACTGCACACCTTTTATATAGTAAGCAATGACATACAATACACAATCAAAGGCAAAAGTTTCCCTTTCCATCTCCAGCATCTGGAGGCAATGCTGGACTCTGGCCATGGGGAGATGCTCTTGTTCCATTTTCCATGTCAAGGAGCCTGTTGTCTGTAGACCATCCTGGTCAAGTTTGCTGGCATGGGTGTCTTTTACCTTCCTGCCAAGGTGGTATGTATTGATCTACTCACATTATGTGTTTCTGAACTGCTAGGTTAGCAGGAGCTAGCACGGCTTTGAACTGCCAACCTTCTGGTCAGCAAGTCTTTCTGCAGCTACCGGCAGGCCCGTAGCCAGGATTTTGTTTCGGGGGGGGGCTCAGTTTGGTTCGGGGGGGCTGAGTCTGAGTGAAAGGGGGTCTACCCTAGCAAACCTTTTGTATCATTACCCCAATACCCCCATGCATATGGGATATATTGAGCATGGTGATCAGATCATGATATGAATAAACCTAACAGTTTAAATAATGTACCAATAAGGCCTTCTCGCGGACCACCATGAGAATTTTTTGGGGGGGCTGAAGAACCCCCCCCCCGAGCACCCCCCCCTTCCCGGCTACATTCCTGGCTACCAGTTTAACCCACTGTGTTAACAAGGCGAGAGATCATAATAATAAAGAAATAATAATACATTTTATTTGTTATCTGCCTCTCCTCATGGTCAACACGGTTAAAACACATCACCATAAATACATACAATAAAATACTTACATGCATTTCTATAAAATCCACATTACAAAAATTAAAATATAATAATGATAGAATATACATTTAAAATCAGTGGTTTAAAATTTATACCCTGCTGCCTAATGCATAGCATTGTATGATGTTCTCCTTTTAAAGACCAATGGCCTGCAATTTAAAAAAAAACTTAGTTTCAGTACTGTAGCAGTTTTTAATGTCTTTTTGGGGTGTTGGTTTTACACTTGATCATAGCCAAATGGCCAAGAAGCAACAGGTGCTGGTTATGAAAACACAATAAAAATGTCATACTACACAGAGGCCTTTCACAAAATTGATTTTTTTATCAATTCCATTGTTGCTCAGTTTTGATTGAGAGCAGAGCCTTATGCTCCAGTGTGATTTCTTTTAGTGCTTTTGAACAGAGACTTGTTTGATATCAGCAAATCAAAGTGTTTTGGAAGTCTGTGAGACAAGTTTACCCCCAGAGAAAGCTTACTCGGGCTTATAGTACAAAATACAGTCAAAGCAAGTTGTACAGAAAAACCTGTACATGATGGAGCAAATCTGAGGTCATTTTGAGATTTAGAATACCAAATTTCTCTAAAACCATCATAAAGGGCATCTCAGTAAACATGCAGAGGATTAGTTACAGCACAGTCCTGATCTACAAAGTCTTAAACTGATTAGAAAGCCATATATCCTACTAAATTTCATGTGCCCCACTCCCAAGAAATTGTTCATAGGATTACA